AAAACACTAATATTTATTACCTATTGGACAGTGTGACAACACTAGTATTTATTACCTATTGGACAGTGTGACAACACTAGTATTTATTATCTATTGGACAGTGTGACAACACTAGTATTTATTATCTATTAGACAGTGTGACAACACTAGTATTTATTATCTATTGGACAGTATGAAAACACTAGTATTTATTATCTATTGAACAATGAGAAAACGCTAGTATTTATTATCTATTAGACAGTGTGAAAACACTAGTATTTATTATCTATTGAACAATGAGAAAACGCTAGTATTTATTATCTATTGGACATTGTGACAACACTAGTATTTATTATCTATTGGACAGTGTGACAACACTAGTATTTATTATCTATTGGACAGTGTGACAACACTAGTATTTATTATCTATTGGACAGTGTGACAACACTAGTATTTATTATCTATTGGACATGTGACAACACTAGTATTTATTACCTATTGGACAGTGTGACAACACTAGTATTTATTATCTATTGGACATTGTGACAACACTAGTATTTATTATCTATTGAACAATGTGACAACACTAGTATTTATTATCTATTGGACATTGTGACAACACTAGTATTTATTATCTATTGGACAGTGTGACAACACTAGTATTTATTATCTATTGAACAGTGTGACAACACTAGTATTTATTATCTATTGGACATTGTGACAACACTAGTATTTATTATCTATTGGACAGTGTGACAACACTAGTATTTATTATCTATTGAACAGTGTGACAACACTAGTATTTATTATCTATTGGACATTGTGAAAACGCTAGTATTTATTATCTATTGAACAATGAGAAAACGCTAGTATTTATTATCTATTGGACATTGTGAAAACACTAGTATTTATTATCTATTGGACATTGTGACAACACTAGTATTTATTATCTATTGGACAGTGTGACAACACTAGTATTTATTATCTATTGAACAATGAGAAAACACTAGTATTTATTATCTATTGGACAGTGTGAAAACACTAGTATTTATTATCTATTGAACAATGAGAAAACACTAGTATTTATTATCTATTGAACAATGAGAAAACGCTAGTATTTATTATGCATTCAACAGTATGACAACAAACGTTTGATAATTTTTAACATAAAATGATGGTAACTCACAACCTTACAACAAGAATTCCATAAACACAATATATATATAATAGTAGTATATAGTAATATAATATGCAATGTCTATATATAATAGACATTACTATTATCTATAGTATATAATAGTAGAAGCACTGACTTGATTAAGATGTTATTTCGTAATTTTAATTCTACTTTAGGTTTAAGGAGCTCTACGTCTATTTCTCATAATACTTAGTATAAGTTTTACTATTTTTTAACACTATATTATTTATCTTTTCCCTTGAGATTTTCTAGAATTAGAAGAGTAAAGAATAATACTATTTTAACCAAACTATGTCCGCCATATCCATTGGCGATTATGCGTTTTGTTCAATTCAGAGCTCATCAGGCTCTCTGGGATACAAAAAAACACAGTAGTGTTTTCAACACTATTTATATAACCCAATTGTTACATCAACAATTGGTATGGTGTGAACGACTTTTACAAGCTAGCGAAGCATTATTACAATTAATTATATTTGTTGTAAGACATTACTATTAGGCCTAAATATGTAGTATTCCTAATACTAATGTCTTTTGACAGGTATGATCAATTATAATGATGCTTCGTCAACTTGTATAAAGCGTTCACAGTATCAGAATTGGAATCTTCTGTCTTAGAGAATCGTTATAAACTAAGCCTATATTTAATGCTTACCTTGTAAGTACAGAAGTAGTTGACATAATAAAAATACCAGCTTCATTTTCATTAAAATTTGAAAGTTTTAACGTTCTCTCTTTGCAGTTTCTGTTCCGGACAGCGTTGTAAATCTTGGGAATTTTAAGTGCTATATGGCGTCTCCAATTTAAAAATAATTACATGTGACATAAACACGTCTTCTCTGTGTATACAGCAAGTATTTTAAGTTTTCAAATATTTTCATAGGTCAAAAAGTCGAACGATCATTACAGAGAGAACGATATCGAAAAAATAATTCAAACATGTTGAACATCTGAACTGAAGAAACACCATTACATTGGTTCTCTTAGTTCACGCGCAGTTTTCACAGTATTTTCTCCCAACAAAAGTGGAATATGTGGGACGGCTTGAAATGTAAGCACTTCTTCAAGTCACATTTATGTCGAAAACACTTCTTCTGATGCTGCTTCTCTGTAAACTAAGTGTCTAACCATCTGGATGGTTCAATTTATTCGAGTCAATAAAAATCTCCCATGACGACAGCCCTGCCCTCTCTTGACGAAAGTATGAAATAAGAGAAAATTTACGCTCTCAACCTTGAAACTTGTATTTAATAACTAGCCGTTTAACTTATACTTACCATGATAAACAGACTTTTGGATGAAGTCACACAAGCCAGGTATTCTCTTCAAAGCTGTATATGTTTCTTAGTTCACAGCCATTTGGTAACATACACGTCTGAAGACTGTAACTGGAGTTGTAATTGATTAAATATCATATAATGACAGATAATATTTTGTTCTTTCGACTTATATTACATATATTTCATTGGCCTTATGATTGGTTTGTTTGTTTTAGAGCAAAGCCACATTAAGCTGTCTGCTGTGTCCACCGCTGGGTATCGAGCCCCGGATTTTAGCAATACAAGTCCACAAACTTACCGCTGTCCGATCGGCGTATTCGATTTATAAACGAATACAATACTAAAATCAGGGATTCTATTCCCCTCCGTGAACACAGCAGATAGCCCAAAGTGGCTTTGCTGAAAACAAACACACACACACACAGCTCTCACATGGGCAAAGAATCAGCGATTGGCTTTCAAAGGAAATTATTTGTAATTGCATTTATTAAGTTAAAAGTGTTATGAAGTTGACCATTAACAAAGTGAAATGGAAATATTATTTTTATTTGTTGAAGTTCTTAAATTTTTAAAAACGAATTTGAGCTATTAACTGGTCATGGAAATGGCTTTTAGTTTTAGTATTTTATCTACCTGTAGTTCATACAACAGACACGTTGTAATTTGTTTTTAGTATTCTATCTACCTGTACTTCATACAACAGACATGTTGTAAATTGTTTTTAGTATTTTCTCTACCTGTAGTTCATACAACAGACACGTTGTAAATTGTTTTTAGTATTCTATCTACATGTAGTTCATACAACAGACACGTTGTAAATTGTTTTTAGTATTCTATCTACATGTAGTTCATACAACAGACACGTTGTAAATTGTTGTTACGACAGCGGAAGTCACGTAATGCTAGTAACACGTCATTGACTTCTAGAAATATCCC